GTATTTATCTTTTGCTCCGATTTTTTGTTTTTCAATACGATTTTTCTAGTCTTTTGCTTCGCAATCGGTTTCGTGAGGTGCCAACCCTGGTTGTAGGCCTAAAAGTCTCCACATTGGCTTGCATTTGTTTACAAGTAGTTGTTTTTGCTGTCAATACTGACAGCACAACAAAGCCACTAAATACACATAAAAGGGCGAAAAATCGAATCACGACAAAAATGTTGTAACTGAATAGAATTTATTATTATCTTCTACAAACGAAAATTGTTGCGCATCCTTTGTATACAAATATCAAAATTCGTTGGAATACGAACAAAGATGTTCATTAAAAAGTAAATGGCACGTATCTATCGAATTAGCTTCATTGAGGTTGGAACTCCATACATTGAATCTCAGGTATGCAAGTCGAAGAAATTCAAAAGAATTCGTAAAAATGTAAAATTTGTGCAGTTGAATCAGGTAGGCATATTCAAGTTTGAATACTTTATTTTTCATAATAGTTGGCCGCCTTAAATGTAGAAATTACACAATAACTTTAATGATCCTAGTCCCCTCCAGGAGACACCATTGTCACATACACAAATTAAACAAATTTGGGACGAAGAGAAATTATCAACCCCCAAAATTTTTTGTTAATAACTTTTGATCGGATAAAAAAAGTTAATTTAATGCTTGTTATTGGGGACCAGACGCGTCTAATGGTGCCCCCTTTCCAAAATTTTGACCAATTTTGGGGGTTGAAAGCCCACCTAGATAATTACGGATTGTAACCCTCACTTCCTTCTCCTTTCTTTATTGCCATAAAATGAAGCCGAAGTATTTAACTTTTGATCGGGTAAAAAAAGTTAATTTCCGCTTTCGGATTCTTGTTATTGGGGTCCAGACGCGTCTAATGGTACCCCCTTTCCAAAATGTTGACCAATTTTGGGGGTTGAAAGCACGCCTAGATAAATACCCTTGCTTTTTCTTAAAATTTCATGCCATTCACACAAGAGACATTAAGTGATAAACACGATGGTGATGTTTTACTGTTAAGGGAGTCCATATATGCACATACATACCTAATCAAAGTATTAAGTTTACCGAGCAATGCCAGAGAAACGGAACACGCCGCATGAACTGCGTGTCTATAAGATTGTAATACTGGGCGATGGTGGCGTTGGCAAATCAGGTAATTCTGTCTTATACGTATGTATCTGAAAAAATCTATTTGTTTACTACTTTTTTTTTGAATTTTAGCTGTAACTCTGCAATTCGTTAGCCATAGTTTTACGGATTACCATGACCCTACTATCGGTTAGTAAAAAAAACGTTTGATAAAAAAAATCTGCTAATACATACATACATTCCATTTACAGAAGACTCCTATCAACAACAAGCCGTTATCGATGGAGAAGCAGCACTGCTGGACATACTCGACACTGCTGGTCAGGTTGAGTTCACGGCCATGCGTGACCAATATATGCGATGTGGTGAAGGTTTCATAATATGTTACTCAGTAACAGACAGGCACAGCTTTCAAGAGGCATCAGAATATCGTAAACTAATTCAACGTGTGAGACTCTCTGAGGACATACCGCTAGTACTGATAGCAAACAAGATTGACTTAGTGTTAGCAAGAAAAGTAAATTAAGATTGAAATAATTGAGGAAACGCCAAATTACAATAATTTTAACATTTGTTTTGAAAAGGTAACAACTGAAGAAGGAAAAAACTTGGCAAATCAGTTTGGCTGCCCGTTTTTTGAAACGTCTGCATGTGAGAGGCTTTGCATTGATGAACCTTTCTACACCCTTGTTCGGGAAATACGTCGAAAAGAGGTTGAATTATATATCAAATCTTACATTTTTCAACTCGTTACCAATGCAAAGGGCTCTAATTGATGGATGTGCCAAATGTTAATTTAAAACGGGTATCGGTCGGTACCGTTAGAGCCTTTTTAATTGATGACAAATAAATATTTTATTTTAGATATTATGATACCTATTTGTCCCAACAGGCTCAAGGTAGCGGTACAAGTTCAGAAAAGTTACATTCTCGTCGAAGGAGCCGTTGGTGGAGAATTCGCTCAATTTTTGCTTTGGTCTTTCGGCGGCGCAGAAATCTAAACTAATAACACGAAAAACACATTTGCACAACCGAAGGCAATTCCGTATAAACACAACTTCAATATATGTACATACATACATAAATCCTATTGAAAGCAATTTGTATACAAAGTATGGATGTGCCCAAGAAATTAAAAGAACCTGACCGAAAACGTCACGATCCTTATACAAGCAACCTCCTACTACATTGTTAGTGTGGTCTAACATAACCAAAAACAGCAAACAAAAAGTTTCTGTCTCCAAAGTGCATCAGTTTCTAGTTCCTCATCCTTTTCGTTTTATATCGGGTTAAGTATAGTCCTTATGTAAAAACAGTTGTTTAAGTTATTGTTATATTGTTTTCGATATTTATAAAAATGCAGGAATGGTGTGACATCAAATTGCCGCGTTACATGCCATTTTTGCTTTCACTTATGTTATATATGTACATACATACGTATTCACATACACACAATTGGTTGAACCGGCAATGTTATTTAGTTAATTATATTTTATCAAACACATTTTAAATAATTTCAACATTGAACAAATTACGACAAGCACAAGTGCTCATGTAACCTATGACATAAATCTATTAAAATCTAAGCAATAAGTTATTTATTCATTTATAGGAATGCATATGAATATCTATAGGTATAAAAATATAACATGATGAATTGAATATGACAGATGGTGACAATTGAAACAAAAAAATACAGGTAAATTATATATTGAACACAACGTCGTCGGGCCCTCCTACACCAAAGCATATTGAATCACTAAATAGTAAATTAATAATAAATTTAGGTCTATATATTGTATATTATTAATTGATAAAATTTAAACTGAACTATAAATATTCTGGAATGATAAAAATCTGTCATATTGTTTCTGGTTCCGAATGTGTTTAAAAATGTCATCAATCTGCGAAAGCTCTACTGAAAGACAATACCCTTTGATTGTTATAGATTTGTTATGAACTTGAAAAAAAAAAATACTCTAAGCAATGTTCCTCTATGCTCAGCGGACGAAAATATGTATGTTACTGTATTGCCTTGGAAAGCTTTAATTTCAATTTTTTATGCTTATCCTTAATCAGTAAAGGATTAATTTTTACTTATTTGTTTTGTAATAGTTATCTAATATATCCGTAAATATATTAAATGTAAATTGTATCGTACCTGGGTGCATAATATTGCCCATGCAACTACATACAATATATTACAACACTCGGGCATTATGTTTCAATTAAAAACTGTTACTAAAAATAAGTACATTACAGCAATACAGCTAATGAAATCAAAACAGGAACAATTCAACTAAGTTCCTTTTTTATTTGTTATTGTTGTGTGAACTAAAGTGCAAATATTTATTTTATTAATCATACTGTAGCATGATTATTTTATTTTAAAATCTTGTGTGTAACTCGTTATTTACTTACATGTGTAAATTGGAGGAATAGGAGGTCCTGTTTTAAATGAATGATATATTAATTTATTGTAAAATAAAAATTGAGATAAAAGAAAAATGTTAATCTTGAAAAATGTTAATCATGTGTATATATTTTCCAAATGAGATATGTTGTAGTAATATGGAATAATTAATTAGTAGCAGCAGGCAAAACCAATTCGACTTGCCTCTACACTTTAAATTGTATTTGACCTTCATTCAAATAAAGGAATTCAAAAATATTCTGTTTCGTTATGATTAAATTGATTTGCTTGCTTGAAGCCCAGCCTCTGAAAACGTTGAAACAAAAAAATTTAAAGGGGTCTACCCTTAAACTCGTAAAAGCCTCGTAAAGCTCGTCAATTTTCGACCCACGTAAAAGAGCTGTCAAAATTTGTATGGAGCTCTATTTACGAGCTCCTCGTAAATTTATGAATCAGATTCGATGTGCAAACAACCTCGTAAACTTCAGTGTTGCCGAATTTCATCCACTAACTGTATTGACTTAGAAAGGGAAAATTGAGGGCGCAGAGTGACATTTCTTTTTGAAGAGAAGTTGCTAGTTTTTACTGGATACACTTTTGCTAGTAAGAACTTGCAAGTGAGAAAAACAGCTGATCGCATGTCGCTGGGTGGAATTGAAACTAATAGCGTTTTCGTTTCTCCATAACATTCTGCCCTGATGCTGCCATTTTAAAATGCTGTGTTCTTTTGTAAAATGAATGCAATCTTTGCAGACGGCAGAGTTATCTTTTCTCACAGGGTTATTTTTTCTAAAAAAATTCGATTCTATCCGAATTTTAGCACCACAAATTTCGATTTCATAAATTCGCGATTTGGAGTTGAAATTCGATTAAAATTCGAATCTCGAAGATTCGAATATCGAATTTACCATCCCTAATCTCTAGGCAACGCTGACATGCTGTCAGTGTCAGCTGTAAATTTTGTTTTGGTTTTACGCTCGCACGTTTTCGGTTTGTTGGAAATTAGTATGTCTGTTTAATGAATAAACTTTAATCATTAAAATAATATAATTGTGATGAAAACTCAAAACCGAATTGCTCAAAATGATAAGCTGCGCCAAAGACTTAAAAAGCTTTTTAAAAAAGGACAGCAAAACTTCGATGGTTCTGTTTGCCAAACTGATTTGAAGCCCAATCATATTCAGAAGGACTCTATGGCAGCGAAGAATAATTTCGCTCCGGAGGGAGGTATTCCCAAAAAGAGGAAAAGAAATCTTGAGGAAAAGAAATCGACAAGCAAAGTAGAATCAACTCCTAAATCCAAAAAACTAAAGGTAAACCCCAAAAAAGCTAGTAGTCTGAAACCAAATAATAGTCATGAGAAATCGAAGTTAAATCATCAGGATAATAGGGCAAAGTGCACAAAACTGTCCAACCGCACAGAAACAAGTAAAAAGACTATAACGCAACATAATAAGGGAAATGTTTTTTTGTCACTGGTGCAACACAATGGATGTCCAAGTGGCATAAAATTGGAAAACCACGACTATAATTCCTTCTTTGATGACAAAGATTTAACTTTTGAAGACGATTATGATTATGGTGATTACTATGACAGTTACAGTGATGATTATTCTGACGATAGTGACGATTACTTTGAAGAAAGTGATAGCTACGGATATGACGATTCTGAATATTGCGATTCTGAGTCAGATTTTAAGTACGTTTCGGAAAGTTTGTCAGAAACGGATCCTGACTATGAACTTCCCCAAAATATTCCAGAAGATCTAGTCATTCATAAAGGTGAGTTGGCTGAATGCGATTGTACGTAGATAAACATATATTTGCCTAGATATGAATGTATAGATATTAGATTTGATATACATATTCACATGTCTAATTAGGTACAGCACAAAAACGCGAAATACGCAAGGATGATGATGTTACTTTCGACAGCGAAAATGAGGACCCGCAAATTTTTGAATTAATCGGGGAAAGCTCAACCAAATTGATAAAACAACCAAAGGCTTATGCAAATAACGAATTGCATAAGTTAAACGAAAGAAGTGTTTTTTCAAAGAGCATACATATTAAAAAGGATTCGGAAGAACGCCATGAACATGAAATGGATTGCCCGTCATTGGTACCAATTTTAGAGGAAGATGGGTTTCGGCTGTACAATCCTGAGTCTGATGACAGCTCCTATGAAGAACTTAGTGAAGATAGCTCTTCAGCGGAATCCGATATAAACGAAAAGTATATGGAATTCGGGCAGAGCTGCGATGTAGATTGTGAAAGATATAATAGAAAGAAACATCGAAAATCTTTTATTAACGTGGGTATTATTGAAGTTCAAAACTGCATTCCACCTCACATAAGTAACATAATTGTAAGCACAAAAAAAACAGAAATTGACAAGCCTATTTCAGAATTTCTGTCAGCTAAAGAAGTGCCTTCAAATTTAGATGGAGACGAATTGATTTCTGTAAGCGTCTGTGAAGCACCTTCTGCACCAGATATCATTAAGGAGTTAGTGACAAGCCGAAATAAAAATTCAGTTGATGAACCGGTTTTAGAGGGGAAGTTTCCAAATGGAAACATAACCCAGTCCCCACAATCTGTTGATGAAGAATTGATCGATGATGAAGGCAGTAAGGTTTTTCTACGAACGTCAGAGATAATAAAAGATGGGATTACAAATGAACCAGAAATATGTGTACCTAGTAATATTCAATTTCAGGATAGAATGATTATTCCTCAAGAACAAATATCTTTTAGAACATTATTTTTTAACGCTGTTAACTCTAATCTTGTTATTGTTTTGGTGAAGGATCCCTTTTATTTTTATGGAACCGTTTGTATGACTATCTTAGCCGGAAAGGTCGAAATATACGGCTATTCGCCACACCAAAAAGAGGAAGTTGAAATATTTTCACCACGTGGCTGCAGCAGTGTTCACGTATCAACCATTCCATCAGCAGTATACCCCGATGAACTTGGGTCTATATTAAAACCGCTTCAGTTATCTTTTAGTTCTAGTGATTTGGAACGAATAGAAAAGGACTTTGAAAGTGGTCGAGATGCTGTATTACTTTTGCAGCGAAATACTCGGCGAAGAAAATTAAAAAACATGTTCAAAAAATATATGAACGAAAATGTCTTCCCCAATATGAATTCTATACATACGGATCGACCACTTTACTCAAGCGAGTATTTATTAGATTGCGTGATAAACACGGAAACAGAAAGACCTTTACGGGTGCCGGAGGAATGGCGAAACTTATATTTTACCTCAACATCTAAGGTGATAATTACCGGTGGAAAATCAGTGGGAAAGTCTACTCTTCTACGTTACCTTCTAAATTCACAATTAGAGCATTGTGAACGTGTACTAGTTATTGACTTGGACATAGGACAGGCGGAACTCTTTATACCTCAAACTGTCTCTTGTACGGTTTTATCTCGACCTTTACTGGGACCCGGATTTTTCCTAAACCACCAACCCACTCGTGCGTATGCTGTGGGCCACAGTAATATTGTTCTTTGTGCTCAGGAGTATGTCCGCGCTGTAAGAAAACTTGTACAGTTTTGTTACTCAAATAAAGAATTCGCAGAAATACCTTGGCTTGTGAACACAATGGGTTATAATAAGGGATTCGGCATGGAGCTAATGAGTGTTCTAAGTCAATTAATAAAGCCCACTGATATAGTTCAACTGCAAAGCAATAGGGATATCAATAATTTTGATGAATTGCTGTATCCTCATGTGTTATCTGGGTTGCCTCGGATCATATACACACAAGATGTATTGAGTGAGGAAATTAATAAACCTGCGTTGGAATATCGACTGCACGTATTAGGTTCAGCCATCATCCAAGAAAGTCGATATCAGCGTGATTGGGAAATGAGTGCTAAGGATTTGCGTTATGCAACATTTCTATCCCGGCTTAGTGACGTCCTTCAGGGCAATGCGGAATGGCTGACAGATTGTGTACCATTAAGGTATAAACAAATCCTCCTGAATATTTAGTGGTACATATGTACAAATGTATGTATATTTGTTCTTTTTGTAGTGCGTTAATTGAAAAGCTTCACCTGGTTAATATGGTTTGTAATCAATCGACTAGAGATGAGCTAATTCCTGCGTTTGAAGCTAATTTGGTTTACTTGTGCCGAAAAGATGACCATAATAATGATCCTATTAAATGCTATGGCATTGGTAAGTGTAATTGCAAAATGTAAACCAATTCTTACAAATCGAAATGTCTACACCAGTACTATATTCATGTGCATGTATTTGCAGGCGTTGTACGAGCCACTGATCTAAAGAAATTATATTTGCTGCCGGCAATGAGTTATGACTATTTAAAAGAAGTAAATTGTTTGGCTTTAGGAGAAATGCCATTGCCTTCATCTTTATTCACAAACCAAGGACCTAAAGTGCGAAAGATGGCTGCCTTTCTTTACAATACTGTGAATGCGAGAACTTCAAAGTCTATCAAGCAAATTTTCCACCGCCCATCGCAGTTTCTCTCAGGAAAACAAAAAATTGTTCAATGATTAGCAAAAATATCTTAGTTTAGCTTACATTTTTTCATGATCTTCGCAATAAAAGCAAAATGAATGAACTGTAACTATTGAATGTATTTGAATTCTACTTTAAATTCATAATGAACATTTAATGAGACAGTATATGTCTTCCTTTGAGTATTCGGCGCATTAACACACGCCGTCCTTCTGGTGTCGACATGCGTTGGTGCCATCCATGAACATTTATCCGTTTAACTTCTCGAGGCTTTGGGAAGTGGCAGCGGACCTTGCTTTTAAGTATAGCCCTATTGAAAACATGTGCCTCTCGACCAATTACCGATTGCATCAAGTTAAAAGTTCCGAGGAACGACCTATGGGTGTGAGTAGTTATGTATAGCATTAGAAATTGATGTCACTGAGTTTCACCTGTTAAATAATCCCAAAAATAACATTTCGAGACAGGAATCCTATAGAAATAAGACCACCGGAGAAAAAATGTACTGGCTCGTCAATACAGCTGTTTGCTGAGTGGTATGTTCAGTGTAAATTAGTGCCAT